TACACTAATGTAATTTTTTTATGACTAAAAGTCTTTTATTAATCCTTTCTTATAAATGTTTAACAAAAAATATATGCACTAAGTTGAATTTTTTAAAATTTCCTGTGATAAAAGTCATAGACTCTAAAGAAATCATTTTAAAAAATAAGACTTCTAGATTGTTATTAATTAGTACATAACTGGCCAAGATAGAAATATATTATACATTTTGATAGCAAATTGTCAAACATGAAAAGTAAATCTTTACTGAAAATGCACCTGAGTGGGATAGTTCATGCATAGTGATCACTACTTCTACTTATTGCTAAAATTAAACTGGGTTGACCTTCATATTTGTCCTAGTTTTGTTTTGTTACAGAGGTGCTGACCCGAGAAAATGGAGGTGGAGATTGTTACCAGTAGGTGTCTCTCTGCGCTTTGAAATGTTCGTGGTATGCCAAAACCACATGGCAACCTATCAGTAAAAGTTGTTTTTAAATAATTTACCAGCTGATACCTCCACTAGGTCTTCCTTCAACTTAGCTGAAAGCGAAGAACTGGAAAGCAGTCACTTTGCCAGCTCACTATTCCCGCTGGCCCCTCTGCATGTCCTTCACCCCAGGGAAGTGTGTCCAGCAGCACCAGGGCCGGCAGGCAGTGCCTAACCTGCACGGAGCCATCCTGCAGCGCTTGTCAGGGAAGAGGGCGTTTCAGGCTAGGAAGTCGATTTTAGCACATCAGGTGAGGAAAGTGGGACTATGCCCCCAGGGAGTCTCCTTTTGCACCCAGGGCATGCTCAGCCCAGGATGAAGATCATGGGACAGCTGAGTGCCTCAGTTTCCACGTCTGCAAAACCGGATCGCGGTCCTGCCCGGAAATGCTGCCTGCACTGCAGTGCTGCCACACTCACCATCAGCCACAGCAGACACCTCATCCTGCAGCGCCAGGATCAGCTTGGCCTCCCGCGTGAGGTACTGGCAGCGGCGCTCCTCGTGCTGCAGCACGGTAGCGATGCGCCGGGAAAGGTTGTGTAGGCAGTTGATCACCGAGGGGTCCGCATTGGCCTGCGGGAGAGGCACAGCTGACTCAAATGCAGCATTCACGCACAGCAAAACCTCAAACCATAAAAGCAGCATTCTCTTCTCCTTTTCCCCAGGCCCATCTCCCAGTGCCACTACTGTCCCCAGCTTCCTGTGTCCCCTCTAGGGCCCACCCACAGAAATGCCACTCTGCACAGCATCCTATCTTGTGGATGGTTGCCTGAAAGGCGGCACAGAGATGGCTCTGCAGGGTCCCCTAGTGTGGGGGGTGGGGAACCAGGCATTTCTAACAAGAAGAGAAAATCTCCCACATCACAGAGCACCATGCCAGGGCCATCCAGGAAGGCAGGGCACAAATCAGGCATCTACTCTGGGCCAGGCAGGGGCAGCCCCATGGCGCAGCAAAACGTACAAATCCCTCCACCCACCTGCTGTATGACCCTGGATCACAGGCTCCCATCTGAAAAAAGACAACAGTGGCACCTCTCTCACTAATTAGACATGTCAAGTGCTCAGAACAGAGCCTACTCAGAGGCAAAAACCACGGTGCTGTTTGTGGTCACCAGTGTACTGCTGACTATTGGTGGACAGGACTGGCTATGTGAGAATTCAATCATACAGCTCCAGTTATAACAAGGGCACACAGTATAATAAACAGAAGCACTATCTAGCTAATTGTTCATGGAACACTCTGTCCTCAGTTAAGTAGCTCTTTGCAGCAGAAATGACCCTGGCAAACAGAAGAATCCAGAAGGCTCCAGGCCACTTCCTTCCACCTGAGCTCCCTCCACACCCCTGTGTCAATTCTGGAAACTATCAGGGGTCGCAGTTGGCCAGGCCAAGGGTGGAGCAGGTGGCTCTGGGGTCTGTGAAGATACTCCACAGAACAGATAACTGGCCAAACATGACTCAGTGCTTCAGGAGGCCAACAGGGTGGCTGAGTCATCCTGTAAGGCAGAGGTGGGGGAAAGAAGAGGACGAGTGGTGGCACAGATTAGATCCTCTGGTGCCGCCTCCCTCTCCTGTTTATCTGGCAGGCAGGGCCCTGCCTACAGAGCGTTCACAGCACCTTCTGGGCCAAAACCTGGGCTAGACTCAGTAAACACCTTCACCACCTGGAGCTGGGGAGATTTTCTAAACTCCCAGCAGATCTCATGTTCACAAACAGAACTCATACCGGGCAGCATACCTGTGCTGGTATGCTGAAGGTTGCTCCCATGCCATGCCCACCACCAGGCAGCAGCCCTTCATGTATAGGGCATCCCCTCAACAGTGTCCCCTGCAAGATTACGGAACTGTAGGGTCTGAGATATAGAGTATATACAATTGTCTCAAAACAAAATACATTTTTAGAAGAATCTGTGTAAAAATACTCCCACCACAAAAAAGAGGTAAGAAAATGATCCTGGGCACATGGTTATCCCCCAAAGTAATCAAGTCCCACTTGAGAACCCATCCCTCTGCTAGAGGTCCCACTGGCTGGGGCACAACAGTGTTGTAAATCAGATGCCCAGGGCCTGTTCGTTCCACATTCCTAGATGTGCGAGGTGGTGCTTGCCCAGGCAGGGCCTGACAACCAGCACTGACGGAGTGTGCCAGGGAGTCCTGTTTGGCTGCGCAGGCATCGCTCAAGGTGTCTGCAGAGCCCAAGACTGTGTGTGGCCATGCTGAGAAAGCTACCACCTAGCATGTGCCAGCCCTGAGTGGGAGCTCTTAGAAATGCCACACTTTCCCCATATGTGATGGGAGGCAGCATCAAGTTTAGGGCATCGCCTATGAGTCTTTCTTACCCCCAAAACACGTACCTAAATGTAATCATGCCTTCAGAGCTAAAGGCCAGTTTGCAAGAAATACAGGGACAGAGAGCAAGTCTGACTGCACGATAAGATGAGTCTAAACATGGAACATTTGATGGAACGAAGGGAGGGGAGAGTCCTAGACTGGCGAGACCTAGAGACGGAATATCACATGCTTATGTGGGTTGGGTTTTCATCCTGGCTCAGACGGGCCAACTGAAAAGAATGTGGCAATTGGGGAAAGTTTCCATGGATCACATACTAGTTGATAACAACTTATGAAAATTTTATCAGGTGTGAAAAGGGTATCCTGGTATAAAATAAATGTCCACATCTTTATAGACATGTCCTCTGAAGTATATAGGAGTGAACAAACATGAGGTCTGGGACTTGTCCTGAAATATTTGAGCAGCAAGGTGGGGAGGGTAGGTAGATGGCGCCAGCATGCAAGGCCAACTGTTGTGGGATCTCAGAGATAGGCGTAGGTTTCTAAAACTATTGTCACTAGTTTGGATTTTGTTTAAAAATTTTCAAAGTAAAAAAAAGTATACATTTTCATATGACTACTGAAAAGAAAATACTTGTCCACCCTAAAATACCAACTCTTTACATTATTTAAAATTCCTCCCATTCTTCAACATTATGGCCTATGCTATCTGAAGTTCTACACTACCTTGTTTCCTACTGCTTTTACCTGGCAGTAATCTATACTCCTCCAGGTTCTAGTATCATCCCCATTTCTCATCTTTAATGGCCAAAGAACAAGCGACTGTATAATAATCACCACCTTGTCTAATCATTCCCCAACTACTGGATACCAGGATTATGTCCAGCCTAGTTATTATTATAAAAGTCTTTACCCAATTTAAAAATGTTTGTTTTGTTGACTGCTATGTCCAAGGGTGTCATATGTTCCGCTATCACAGGCTGCCCAGAGAGGAGGGCCTGCCTGCAACATCTGGGGTGGGGCTGTGGCTGCTTCTCACCACCCATCCCACACGGACTATCAGTATTGACAGGTGGACAGCATTCGTCATGGTTTTTGTTTGCTTGTTTTTTTACTTGAGTTCTCTTTGTGGATGTATTATGAAATTTTATAAGTAATACAAGGATACTATGAAAATGCAAACACTACAAAAGTGTATATATAAAGTAGGAAGTAAGAATCTCTTCTTGGAACCTCATGCCCCAGGGACAGTCACCACTAACAAATCATTTTATTCTAACTTGTAGTTCCTTATTTATCAACAAGGTATGCCAGTTTTAAAAATTAAGCTCGACTCTAAAGGAGCTTTTCTCTAGAAATTTGATTATGAACCATTCACAGTAAGACCTGTGGTCCCCAAACCAAAGAAGCCACAATGAAAAAAACACCTTGAGACTTAGAATGGCATCTAATTGTACAGGTTTCCTTTCTTCTCAGTCTCATTTCCATCACTCTGAGGTTTTCAGAGCACACACTATTCCTTGTCACTAAAACCCAGTCACTTTCTCACTCATATTTCTGCATAAAAGCCATCACTGAGATCACATGACCAGCCAGAAAGAACTACTGGATTCTTTGGTGAAAATGAAGTTGAGATATTTCAGAGGAACGTCATTATTTAACATATATTCCAAAGTCTCTTCAAAATATAAGCCAGACCTTACCTAGGAATGCTATTTATATTTTGACAGCTTTATTGAAAAGGAATTTCCTGTAACTAGTGAAAACACAACTTTGGTCAGTGCTGGGAACTGCTTTAAGAACAATTAGGCTTAATCATTTGAAAAATGAAAAATAACGAATGTTGGTGAGGAAATGTAAAATAACTGGAACCCTTGCTGGTGGAATGTGAAATGATGCAGCCACTCTGGAAAACAGTCTGGCAGTGTATCAAATGGTTCGATGCAGAGCTATCATATAACCCAGCATTCTACTCCTAGGTATATACCCAAAGGGAATGAAAACATGTGTTCACACAAAAATTTGTACACAAATGCCCTTAATATCATTGTTCATAATAGCCAGAAGGTGAAAACAACCCAAATGTTCATCAACAGATGAATGGATAAACAGTGTGATCTAGCCATCCAATGGAATACAATTTGGCCATAAAAATACAGTACTGATACACATTACAGTAAGGAATAATCTCAAAATCACTATGCTCAGTGAAAGAAGCCAGACACCAAAGGTCACATGCTGTAGGATCCCATTTATATGAAAAGTGCAGGACAGGTAAATCCACAGAGACAGAAAGACTGGTGGTTTCCAGCAGCTGTGGGAAAAGAGACAGGGAAGTAACTGGTCTCCTTTCACAGCAATGAAAACATTCTGGAACTAGATAGTGGTAATGATTATACAACAGTGTTACTAGATTCCACCAAACTGTGCACTTTAAAATGGTTAAAATGGTAAATTTTATATGTATTAAAAAAAAAAAAAAAAGCAGGAAACAATGAGTGTAGACCAGCGCCATGCCCACAGCAGTCTGAGCTCTGAGTCAATGACAGTCGCTGGAAATGAGCTGCTGCTACTCCCCCCGACCCTCCTCCCTACTCTGCCCGTGCTCTTCAGCCATTTATGCGAACACTCACCCTCAGTGCAAATACCACATTAAAAAGAATCATGGTGGGAGCTTCCCTCTTCGGGGATGGGTCTGTTTTAGAGACCTGTAAAAGAGGCATAATTATAATGAATGAGAGCCACTACTTCTGAAGAAGAGCTGTTTAGAATTATTCTACTTTAGGCGTGGGAAGTTTCCAGAATATAGCAGAATCAGAGAAAAAGAGATTCCCAGGGTCTTGGAGAAGCAATCGGTGCCTTTGCACAGACAAGTGGTGGCTGCATGGACAGGTGAATCACTGCCGAAATAAGAGTAGGAAAGTCAGTGCTATGACCCAAAGTGACAAAGCTGCCCCAGTTAATTGAAGTGAGCTGAGGTGCGCAGAGGAGACAAGATGGAGAGGGGCTCAAGTGGATAGTGTCCTCTGTCCAGACCATCCCCCCATGGCCACCCCCAGTGTCCACCTGAGTTTTCCAGGCTGTCTCTGCCAGGTATAACAAGTACTGGGGACGACTGAGAGCCAGCAGACAGGCCTGCCACTCTGGCATTCAGCCAACCTGGGTCACAAACACCAAGCTGACTACAAAGTATTGCCACTAGGGGATATGAGTCCAGGGCCCTAGCTCTCCGTGGGCCATCCCAACTGTCTCCTCACCATCCTGCCTGTCACTCCCGTTTTGTAGGGTATAATTGCTGGCAGGCTGCCAAATCTCCCCTACATTACCCACAGGCCATCAGTAGGAACTAAACTCAATCTGCAGGGACCTTGGTGAGGAGGGAAGGTGCTGTCCATGGGGCCAGATGCACTTAGCCATGGCCCCATGTCTTGGCACCTCCAACCACATTTTGACCACTCACACATTCTTTTCATGGGCTTAGTCACAGAGAAGATTTGAGGACCACATCACAGACCCTCACATAATTTCTGGACCGTATAAATGAAGCCAAATCTTATACTGTCTTATTAAAACTCTTCAGAATCTGAGTGATGCTGTTGCTGATTCTGCCCGTGTGAAAACGACTGACTGGCAGGTTCTGGTGTGCAAATTCTCCTGGTTCATAGTGCATTCAATCTTGTTAAAACTCCCCAGTACTGTAATATTTCATTTAGTAGAGAATGCATATAAAAGGTTCAGCACAATAGTAAGAGCTAAATTAATAATAATAATGGCTACGACATCACTTAATAAACAAAAAGAAATGCTTACACCAATTTATATAAAGTTCAAGGGGTTGACAAATGCTCTCGATGTATATATACATTCTATATAGATATACACACACACATATATACATTGTGCGTGTGTGTGTGTGTGTGTGTGTAAATAAAGGGGAAGGCCGCAGTCAGTAGACACCCAGAATGCAAACAGCAAAAGCTAGGAGCAGGGACTGAAACTCCGGGGACAAGGATGCCTGTCTCTCCCAGGAGCCTCAGGGCCTAGGAGGATGTGCAGCTGACAGCGAACACTTGGTCAGGTTTGCTGTGTGTTGGCTGTCTTCCCCAGAACCAGCATCAGCCACCGGTCTCTGAGGGCCCAGACCAGGATGGGCCATGCCTGCCCAGGGAGAACCCCACCTATTCGGGAAGCCCTTACCTGCCCCAGCGCATGCTGCAGGAGTGTCGGGTGCCCAACAAACCGCACATTATCAATCTTCAGTTCGAATTTTTGGCCACACATTTCAGACTTGGTTGCCAAAATTGTTGCCAGAATGACATCTGAAAACCTTAAAATTAAAAAGAGGTAGAGTGGAAATAAGTGAACAAAATATCACAGCCCCATGCCCACTGCCCTCAGAGGGGAAGGGTCTCAGTATATTGCAGCTTCGTGTGCAGAGTGGCTGTACCCCCACTGATGACCTGGAAGCTTCTATCAGTTGCCTTTTGAAGCAATCTCCAAGATTGGGGACATAAAATCACCATAATTACAAGGTAAAAGGCATGAGAAGCATAGACTGAAGGCACATGCTGTCATTTCTTGGCATGCTCTATGAAATTCAGGAGAGAAACAAGTTGCAGTTTGCTTTTAAAGGAGGAACAGCAGCTGAGCTGGCATTGCTCTGAGAGTCACTTTCCTTAAGGCTCACAGGTGGGGGCGCTCTACCATCAGGCCCAGGTTTACTGGGCTGCACCCCTCAACTCCCAGGAGTTCCCAACCTCTGAGTGCTGAGTAAAGGGCAAGGGGACAGCACTAACTGCAGCGAGCTAATTACCTTCTTTCAGCATGTCTGCCTTCCCTTATCTCAAACACCGAAACCTTTCAGTTTTTATTAGGGAAGAAATTTTTAAAATGTGCAAGATGTGCAGACCCACTGATATGATATGAACATAGGGACGCACAGAACTGAGTGTCACAGAGAAGTAGGAATGATGGCTGTGGCGTAGGTGAGAGCAGATCTGGATACACTCTCTGTAAAACTGCTGAGTTCGCCCCTTTGCAAGGTGAATCTGTACACTTATGTCTCCTTACTGGCAGCTCTGTTCCTTCCTCCCCAAGGGAGATCTCGATAAGGGAGGAGAGCCCAGGCCTGGGGGGACCTTCACTTTAGAAGCACTGATGCACCGTGTCTGAGCTGGAGCCAGAAGGGAGACAAGTCCTGTGCTCATTTCTCCACCTGGAGAAAGCAATTCTAACATCCAGGTTGGGAGGACACACTGTGTTGAAGAAGGTGGCTCTGGCTCCCTTAAGGTCATGCTCTGCTCTAAAAGAGACCCCTGTAGTCCTAGAGGCCATCGAGCACAGACATTCCAGTGTGTGTCCTGGGCCTTTGCTGAGGAGCTATGGCAAATCAGACCCCACACCAGATGCTTTTCTCCTGGATGATCTTGTGTGGGGGAGGAGAGCGACTAACACCATACAGCTCCGTTTTCTGAAGAAAAAGGATGATTTGCTACAAACTGCTGCTTTAGCTCAGCTCAGAAATAGCCAACAGCTCTGGGATAAAAGGATCCAGGAAGGGGGCCATTTGCTCTGGGCTCCTTACACATGGCAGGGCTTACCACCTAATGTAAGAGTAACCTGGAGCCAGCCTGCAGCAAGAGCTCTGCTGATCAACCAGCAAACGGACAAACTGCAAGATGAGCAGCCATGGGACTCTTTCCAGGCCTCTTCCCCACGGACGGGTGGGGGACCTAGAACTGTGAGGGCCTTTGCAGGGGAGGATGTCACATTGGTTTCCAGCCTTCCTCCAGAATTGACATGGTTCTCTAGGCACACTAGGTCATCCTGTGGTGACCTAGTATGTAAACTAGATACAAAGGGTTTGCCTCTTGCACAGTCAGGACTGCCCTTGGATCTTCCAACACCAAGGTGTCAGAGATATTCTGGGAAAATTGGGACCCACAGCCTGAGTGCTTGGCTGCCCATTGTGGGCCTCTCTTCCCTGAAATACTGTTCTCTGGAGTGATTAAACCAGAGATAGAAGATTCCAGTGTCTTAGACCAGAGGCATTATAAGCTTTCTTCAAAAACTCTAAATGGTTTACTCTGCCCTGCAACTCTCATCTGAGGGACGGTGACGGTGAGGGAGGGATCAGGGTGACAAACTCAAACGAACACTTCTGTCCTAGCAAATAATCCAGTGCCAACATTTCACATCCTATCTGCCACCCGAGGACTAAGGGACATAGAGATAAGGGATAGAAAACAACCTCCCACTACTCCAGATAGTTTACTTTTTCCTGTGATACCCAAATACCTCCATTAAAAACCTCTGCTCTGTCATGAAGAGCCACAGATGGGCCTCAGCCCTGGCCCTCAGCCACCAATCCAGGAACCTAAGTTAGTTTGGCTGTGGGATAGGTTTTGAGATTCAGAGGCAAGCAGTGGCGGTCTAGTTCACATTTACAAATATCCAAATCCAAAAACACCCTTCCAAGAGCCAAATAAAAAGCGCCTCCCTCCAAGCCAAGAGAGGCCAAGGTCTGCGGAAGGAGTCAACTAGAAAGCCATGTGCTGCTGAGGCGGCCAGCAGGGTGGTGTATGGTACTTGTCTCAGCAAGTCTCGCCCACAAAGATATCCACTCACCACTGCAATATTACACACTTATGATGAAAGGAACACCTGAGTGGCTTTATACTTTGTATAGTGTATCTGCTGACGTAACATGCACAAAGACACAGAGTTATATCATGAGATTTGGGGCGGGAGACATAACTGTTATAAATAGCAAAATGAAACGAAAACAAGTGACAATATTCGTTTGTTGTTTCCAAAATTTACAAAAATCCTTTTCCCTTGTTTTGATAATAAAAGGCCTGGTAAATATGTTGCACACAATAAAATAGCTGTTACAAAACTAACATTTCTGGAATAACTTAATTAAAAACATATTTAGGAAGAAGAACCAGCCCAGCTGGAAAACTGGCCAAGATCTTCCATTCCTGCCAAGACACTCGGAGCAGGCTTGTCCACAAAAGAGGGAGGACAGCATGGAAAGGAGCTCGACTCTGCCCCCTTCTGTTCTGGGGGGCTCACAGATGCTCTGTGCACCTCCAATGCCCAGAGGAGATGCCCTGTCAGGGGGGACAGGAGGGTCCCACCTTATCTATGCCTTCCTAGAGAAGTGCCACATAAGCTCCATGGGAACATTTTTGCCTCCAAAGGGCACATACAAGAGCATCTAAGCTCAAGCGTTACATTTCATACCCAGCCCTAGGGAGAGACCCCCACTAAACAAACACCTCCAAGAAACGAAGGCAAGGAATAATCTAGGGTCTCTCTAGGGGGACAGTAGGCTAAAGAGACAAGAAACCTACCACCCTCACAGGGCCACTGGTGCCTGCCTGGAGGAGGAGGTTTGAGTGCATGCCTGGTCCCAGAAGTCTCCCTGTGCCAGCCAACCTGCCTAGGCCTCTTAGGTAATGTGAAATAGCTAAATAACTCCAGGTGGAGAAAGGGCAGGGGCCGTGGCAAGCCTGAGTACTCATTCATGTGAGATCGGGGCAGTGCGGTCCGAGCGAGAGCCTGTGTGCCTCATTAGTCATTCTTCAACATTGAGGGAAATCAGGAGTTAAGCACAATTACAAGAAGAAAGGGTAGCAAGAATCAAGACAGAAAGATGGCGGAGAAGTTCTTGGTCTTACCCTGCAACCAATTGCTCATCGGTTGAAGGACATGGCTCGCTGAAATGGGAACAGGACCATCAAGACCAAATAAAAACACATCGATTTTAAAAATCATTAAAATTTATAGTCGTTTTATTAAAACAGTATTAAAGTCTAGCAGAAGTACCACCATTAGCATTAATTGTTGAGGTCAAGGCTAAGCAACTTACCGGACAAAAAAAGATACAGACACTCCCCAAGTTGAAGACTTTCCACAGTTTTCTCACTAAAGCTCAAATTCTCATACATAAACATAGGCTGGGCAAGAATGAGAGTCAGTTTCCAGAAGCAAGAGCAAGGCTGGAACACCTAGGTCGGAGCCCAGCACCACAAGTATCGGCTGGATGCCCATGCACAAGTATTTAATCTTTCTGACAAACCATCTCAACAAGATCAAATGAGATTCCCCAGAGGAAAAAGCCTTATGGAAACTGCAGAATGCCACTGAATACCTCAGTCTCCATTCTTGAGACGCTGTGACCACCAGCGTAGCTGACCTCCCTGAGCCTCTGGCAAGGACATGACTGTGGCCCCTTCAGCAGCAAGGCAGTCACGGCAGATCTATAGGTACATATGCTGAAAAATGTCTTAGACCTCTGCACTATCCAATCTGGTTTTTTAAAGAGTATATTTAAAAGAGTTAAAGTTCCTCTACACAGGTCTGTGTCCTGTGACATGCTGCTTTCTGAGAAAGTAAGCTTGAGCCCCAGGGTGCAGACAGCGTCAGAGGGGTGAGAGCTGGCTACGACACTGTGCCACGTCCATCGGGCTGCCCTGCTGGGCCTGCTGCTCCCCACAGCTCTCACTGAGAATCACACACTGCCAGAGGACTATGCAAAAGAAACACACAATGAAGAAAGCTTTCTTTTCAGCAGCTCTCAAACATTAGCTCATCAAGTTTGTGTAGCAGTAAAGGGGTAAGATGTTTTGTGGACTTTCTCAAGATCACGCAGAAAGTCAGAACCCAAAGAAGCTCAAGTGCAACTCCTGCAACCAGACAAGTCTCAATGAAATCCCTTTACTTTCAAAAGGGAAAAGCACACAGGGCTTCCAAGAGTCAGCAGTGTTCTATTTCCTTAATGGGGTGTGGTGGTGACAGGTATGTTTTATGGACTTGTGTCTATCCCTCTGAGGGACACAGAGCCATCGTCAAGTACAATCACCTAGATACAGATGTTCCCATTACATCTAGACCTGGAGGGAGAGGCGGAGGTGCCTTACCACCTACAAGCATCTTAGAGAAAACAGTGAAACTGAGGCTCACTGTTTTGTGGACTTTCCCAAATCACATACTGTAGGACACAGAGTGAGAATCAGACCTGGAACTCTTTATCTGCACTTGTCCCAGCACGCTGCCCTACAGGGACATGCCTGTGTGGACACCAACATGGACTCAGCTGGGCCAGGAAAGGGAAGGAAGATGCCTAAGCTTAGAGACAACATTGCTTGTCCACATTCTTGTGTACTGACCTCAGCTCCAGAAAGTAGGGGCATCTTTCTAATATATCTCAACGACATGTGCCATAAAGGCAAAGCCATGAGCAGAGGCCCTGGTGGAGACCCATGTGCACCTGGTATGGAGGACTTGTGTGTTGTGTGCCAGCGTGCACTACACTTCACCTGGCCAAGGCTTCTGTCTGGCCTAGGGTATGACTGTGCCTAAAAGCTGGACCCACTGCTTCAAGAAAGGTGGCCAAGCCTGAAAAGGGCAGCAATGCCACCTGAGAGATAAAGGGTGGAGACAGCTCTAGGGAGGTCTTTTAGATGGCGTCTAAAGTAAAACGATTTGAGAGTGTTTTGAAATGAAGTCAACTATTCTTCAAGCACCAGCATCTCCTCCTCTGAGTCAGTGGCCAGAACACTGCTTGCATCTCTGAAGCCAGAGATGGCCATCCACATCAGGAGGGATCATGCTCACAAAAGCCTTTCCAACTGATACCAGGCTTTCTCGTCTACCTCTCCTGATAGCTTTCTCCCTGCCGGTGAGGGGGATGCAGGACGCAATTAAGCATGAGTTCCCTGGTCCCTGACACCCAACAAACAGGGACACTACTTTTCCAAACTTGAATTTCAAACATTAGAGACAATACCTATGTTCTTCTCTCCCTACTGAATTCTCACAGTTTTTAAAAAAGTGACAGTTAATTCTCATACCCTGAAACATATCATCTTGATGATTCACCTTATAAAACCAGTCTACCCTCTAAGCCAGTGCTGTCCAACAGAACTTTCTACAGTGAGATAAATATTCTAAACCTATGCCATTCAATACAGTAGTCACCAGTCACATGTAGCCACAGAGTACCTGAAATGTGGCTAGCGCGACTGAGGAAATAAATTTTCAATTTTATTTTATTTCAGTTCATTTCCATTTTAAATGGCCACACTGGCCAGTGACTATAACAGTGGGCAGCACAGCTCTGCACCCTCACTTTTTTAGGGCAGGCCACCACCACATTCCAAAGTTACCCATGTGGCCTGTTAACACTATTTCAATCTGGCAAACTGATGAGCTGGAACATTATGCTGGCTCCAGAAGAAAAGCACCTTTAAAAACGGCAATCAAAGAAATTGAGAATGGGTATGATACACCTTTACTGCAGTGCTCCAGAAAGATGTCTGAACTATAACAGGGTTCCCCCAGGTGCGAGGGGCAGCATAGTGGCTGGGCAGGCCTATATGACAAAATAAAGCTGGGCCCCTAGGGTATTAACCTGTATCTCTGAAAATGTGGGGGGTGGGGAGTAGGATCATCGGATGTCATAGTATGCTAAAATTACCAAATAAAATAAATATCCTAATAGTCATTTTATTATAAGCCTCCAAAAAATTAACTGTAGGAATTAGCTGCTCCTTGCCCTCCTAAAAAATCCCTCCACACAGACCATTCCAAGAGCTCTTTCTGAGTCTTCAGCAGCCTAAGCCTCATGTCCGCAGAGCCTGAAGGAAGAAGAGCTGACTGGCTGGCTGGCAGGCAGGCCGTCTGCCCTGCTCTAAACTAATCTGTGGCACAGGTGAAAGACAAAACACACCTACCGAGTATGCAGAGGCAAAAAACTTTCTCTGTGCCTATAACAACAGGAGTTTGTTCCAAGTTGTCAGTCTTAAAGAACAAGACAACCAAAGGCCTCTCCGTCAAGCAGAACCCATGGAAAGTCCAACAGCCTCTCATATCCCCTGCCCCTCCTGCTGGTCCCTCTTCAAAAGCCTGCTCCCTTCAGAGACAGTCACTTATCATGCCAGAGGTCCCTAATATCTATCTCTCTCTCTCTATCTCTCTCTCTCTCTCTCTCTCTCTCTCTCTCTCTCTCTCACACACACACACACACACACACACACACACAAACCACATTCTTGTAACTGCACAACACTAGGGCACCTGTGGTGCCTCATCAGAGAACTGAAGGGAACCGTATTAACACACTGCATGTCAAAAGCCCACTGTGGGGACCTCAGCCATTTTCCCATGGGACAGTGGAAGCTAAGTCTTTTAGCTCACAAAGGCCCCGGATGTTTAGGGGAACCCAAGACAGACAATTTACAATCTTTCCTACTGCATCTGGGCCTGTGTTACCATTTACTAAGCTTTGAAATGAATATGAAGGCAGAAGCGGTCACTTCTCATATTTGCATGATAGCCCTTCCCAGAGCGAGCAGCAGGGGCACACAAAGGAAGAAACAGGACACACTTTTCATCTGTGCCATAAAAGAGCAAGGGTTAAATCATCCCTGGCTCTCAGCCAACATCACCACCTGGACAGACTGTACTGTACCCAAGCACCTCCATTTGACTGCTGGGCACATGCTTGAGGAATAAGGTCTGAAGACAGCATTGGGGTCTGCTTTCCTACATGTTCCTCTCCTAGGAGATAAATGTCTTACAGGGACATGGCCTCACCTGTTCTCCAACCAGCTTTACCAACCACACAGCCCATAGCTGGAACACGTGACCAAATTATGCAGCAAGCCAGAGATTAGCAACACAATCCTCAGCTATATGCTACCCGAAACACCCACCAAATGGAAAAAAAGGACACTAAATTTCTCAAGAGAGAAAACATCTAAGTCAACAGGAGGAGAGGCCTTGCCCAGGTCTGGAGGCAAAATTAGCTCCATCACAGACTGATTTCAGAGGCTTACCTGGAGTCACCATCCTGGTCCTCAGCGTGATCTCCTCCTGTGTTGTTGACAGCATATCTGCTAAAAGGCTTATCTGAGTGAAGGCAAAAAGGAGACAATGACTAAGAAAACAGGATCCATCCAAATATAGGAGGATTTATGGAACCATTAAAAGTGATGGTCTCTAAAATGTGGTTTCTACACACAACACTGATCAGCCATAAAAAGGAATGAAGTTCTGACACATGCTACAATGTGGATGAACTTGAAAACATTATGCTCAGAAAAAGAAACCAGACATAAAAGGACAAATATTGCACTTACATGAAATATCTACAATAGGCAAATTCAAAGAGATAGAAAGTAGATTAGAGGTTACCGGAGGCTGAGGGCAGGAGAAATGAGGAGTTATTGCTTGGTTACAAGTTTCATTTGGGGTAATGAAAAATCTTGAAAATAGACAAGTGGTGCTGGTTGTACAATATGTGATTAATGCCACTGAATTATGCACTTAAAAATGGTTAAAATGGCAAATTTTTTATATTTTTTAACCATAATAAAAAATTTTTCAAAAAAAACTATGGTTTCCAAGAATTTGCAACATAATAAATATTTTTGCTATTATTAAGCTAGAAAAAATTGATATGTATACACACACATATACACACATACCATCTCAGTGTATGACATCAACTAGGTTGGAAAAAGCACAGGCAAAAGAAAGAATTTTTAAATGTCCATATACCAATATTCTTCGCATACACAAAAAACAATACTTTACCAGAGTAATAAAGTTTAAAGACCTAAGGGTAAACTTAAGAAGTTCGCCATGGACAAGTTCTTCATGCACTAGAGGCCCATAAAGAAAATGGAAATACGAATAAAGGAGACAAGAATGAATAGAAAACATTCTCGAATGAGAAGATTCAACATAAAGATACCCTTTCTGCCCAGTTAATTAACATGTTTAAAATGACCTCCAAAACTACACCAGAGGCTTGAGAGTGGGGCCTAACACGGTCAATCCTGACGTTTACAGGGAAAAGTAATCAAGAACTGCCTTATAACGTTGAAAAAGAAAAGTAATGACTGACTAATCCTGATAGTATAACACAGTATAAAGTTATAATAATTTATTGGTGTGGAACCCACACATAAATCAACGAGAGAGAGAAGGTCAAAAATAAACCCAAATAAACATGGGAATTTAGTATGTGATCACTGGGGGCAAGTGAATTATTCTACAAAAAGATGTTGGGACTAGGTCATATGGAAGAGAAAATTATGTTGAACCACTCACTCTCCAGCTGTGGGGCCCCATGTTCCCACGTCCTTCCTCACCCATCACAGTGCCTGCTAAACAGGGCTCCGGGAGGCAAACAGGAGGAGCACACGCGACTTTCAGCAAGTGCCCCAAAAATACCAGCTCCTAATAGGAGCTTTTGCCTTACACCAAGACAAACATATTTAAAAACAAGACAACAAATGTTTGAAAGGAAAACACGAGGGGCTCTTTTTGTTAATACTGGAGAGCAGAAGGCCTTTCAATGTATGACAAAACTCAGAAACTACAAAGGAATAGACTGAAAACGTGACTCCATTCAAATCAATACTCTGTGTGGCAAAAACTACAGAAAGGCAAACTGGCTAAGATGTTCAGCTTTGTCACAAAGGACTTTTTATCCTGAATATATAACAAGCTCCTTTCAAATCTATAAGGAGAAAAATCAAACAACCCGAGTGGGAATTAGGAGAGTTTATGAATAGGTCATTCACTAAAAAGAAAATCCAACTGACTCTGAAAACAGGAAAACATGCTCTCAATCCTAGATAAATGCACATTAAAACTATCACTGACAATTTTTGACCTATCTCATTAACAAAGACAGAAAAATCTGATTAAAAATAAATATGCTCATTATATCCCTTAGATCCAACCATCCCACTTCTGGGAATGATTCTACATTCTGCAAAATGATAATATATACAGAAAGGACATTCTCACTGTTTATATTAGCAAAAGATTGGAAACAATTTAAATGCCCATCAACAGAGGACTGAATAAATAAATCCCATTACTCTGATTGTAATTCTAAATCTATATCCAAGATGTAAAATGAAAATGAAAACAGGGCAGAACAGTGTGTCTAGTGTTCACTTGTGCTTACAAAGTTAAATAATGTGTATATATGCTTGTATTTACACAGAAGATTCTGGAATGATGCACAGGAAAATGGTAGCAGTTGAGGAAATGGGTGGCTGGTAGTTAGTATGGAAAAGAACTTTCTTTTCATAATCTAAACCCCTTTGTACCTTTAAAACTTTGTACCAGATTAATAAATTTAAAAGCAATTTTAAAACAAAATATAAATTACAAACTGAACATTCATGATAGTGAAAAACTACAAGTAACCTCAATGCCTATCCACAGCAGCTGTATGCTACAACTAAGAGTGAGGATGATCTGTTTAACATTTCGGAAAGTGCTCCAAGTTATACTGTTCAATAGAAAAAAGAGCCATTGCAGAACAATCCATTTATGTGAGGAAAAAAATCCCAAAACGATACACTATTTTTCTACAGATACACAGTTGGAGGCTATGTACAGGAGATTACAATCACTAAAATGGTCATCGGTTACCCAGTTATCTGTACGTGTGGAAAACTGGAGGTAGGTGGTTCAAAGAAAACTTCAGAGGTTCTGTAATTTCATATTTTTTTCAAGCTGAATACAGTCACGTGTCAAAAAAAAATAATAATAAACAGAGCTATTTTTAAATGGCTCTGGAGCTGCCATCCCAGAGGAACTGCCGTGCATGCCTTATGCCTCAGACCTTTGGAATGTTAAAACAGGGCAATGTAACTTTTGAACTGGGCCTAATCAACCTTGTGCCTCAAAGAACTGATTGCAAAGATAACAAGAAAGCAGATTATTATGACTATCTGATTACCAGACTGAAAATTAACAGTTTAGATTTAACATCATTGTTATCTGACCAATAGAAATGCCTTCTTTCTATTGATGTAATTATTTCCCTTCTTTCTCATAAATAACTATTGCCTTGTCTCCTAATCAGAACACTACCTGGTCTTCCGGGTTCCCACCCGAATCTGTGGATCCTGAACAGCTCTTATCGATCTCAAACAAATACTTGTGACCTCTCACTTTGACTTTTATTTTTAGGGTAATACAAAATACTTATATATTGTTTTAAAGTCTGCAGACACTGATAAAATGTTAGCAATAGTGGCTTTGGCCTGTTGATTTTTTTTTCCTGTTTCTTTTCACTTTTCTACACTTTCCAAATAGTACTCTATAATGAGGAGGCATCGACTTTATGATCAGGAAAAGTAAAAAGTAAAGGACTTGAATTCTAACGTGCGAGGCGGTGAGGGAAAGGGGGCCCTGCGTCTGGGGTCTTTGAGTGCTGCCGCCAGGCGCATGCGGGAGCGCCAGGCCCGCTGCCCAGCGCTCACTTACTTGTCTGGGAGGCCGGGTGCTCCTGGCTTCTCTGGAAGGGGTACCTGAACAGCAGTTTATTGCCCCTGCTCCCCGAGCTCACCAAAATCACGCTGATGGGGCTAGTGTTGTCCCCCATCCTACCCGGGGGCGGGGAGCCAAAGGAAGACAGGGAGGGAGTGAAGGGCTGGAGGGGCTCTCAGGAGAACGGGCGGGGGGTAGGGGGAGCAGTGCTGAAAAGGACGCGCCGAGGAAGGTGGGGAGCTCTGAAGAGGCCCGGGACTGGAGAGATGGGGGGCCCTGTGGAGAACGGGCCAGGGAGGCGCGGGAGGGTGGGGGAGGGACTGAGGAAAATGCTCCCGGGACTGGAGGAGGGGGTCTCCGAGGAGTACGGGCCGGGGTCAGGGCATGAAGGGACCTGACAAGGACGCGACCGAGGCCACGGAAACGACCAGCGCGGAGAGCCAGGCCGACGTAGCAAGCACAACAGTCAGCAAACATACGCGCTAGCTAGCGCGTCCCGCGGAGCTGGGGAGACTTCCGCCGCAGGAGCAGGCAAAAGCACAGAAAGTGCTGTGCGCGGGGCCAGGAGCGTTTGCGCAGCCGCGGGCGGCCATGTGCGCACGCGCGGGGCTGTCCTTTCGGGGGAGGGACTACAAGTGCAAGTGCGCGCTGGCCCGCCCCCTTCCTGCTTGAGAAGAAGAGAACTGCCCACCAGTGTGTAAGGCCTCTGGGACACTGTCAGCCCTGGGGTTAAAGGTAGCTGTCTTTAAATGTTACTTTCTTCATGTTAAAAGTAACACTTGGTTTGGGCAGAAAATATGAACTTACAAATATAACGTAGTAAAATAAAATTTTAAAAGAATCGCTTCAGTGAATCATAGACCTAAATGTAAGAGCTAATACTGTAAAAATCTTACGAAAAAACAGCGGTCAATATTCATAACCTTGGACTGGGCAACGATTACTTAGGTATGACACCAAATGTGCAAGCGACTAAAGAAAACATTACTTGAGCTTTATCAAATTGAATACTTTTGTGCTTTAAAGGACACCACCAAGAAAGTAAGAAGCACTCACAGAATAGGAGAAAATATTTACAATTCATATATCTGATGAGGGAATTGTATCCAGATACATTTTTTTAAATAAACTCATACACTCAACAATAAAAAGAAATAACTAACTGAAAAGTATGCAAAGGAAGCAAATTAATAGTTCTCCAAAGAATATAGACAAATGGCCAAGAAGCACATGAAAAGATGCCCAACATCATTATTCATTAGGGCAAAGCAAATCAAAACCAAAAAGAGATACCACATCACACCAACTAAAATGGCTATAATAAAAAAGACAAAATAACAAGTGTTGCCGGGAAGGTAGAGAAATTGGAATCTACACATTGCTGGAGGGAATGTGAAATGGTGCAGCTACTGTGGAAAACAGTCTGGCAGTTCCTCAAAGGTTAAATATAGAATTCCCATATGACTCAACTATTCCATTCCTAGGTATATACCTAAGAGAAATGAAATCATAAGCCCACACAAAAACTTTCATGTTCATAGCAATATTATTCACAATAGCCAAAAAGTGCAAACAAGCCAAATGCCCAACAGCTGATGAGTGATTGAATAAAATATGGTATAATCCATACAATGGAATAGTATTCAGTCATAAAAAGGAATGAGGTACAGACTCATGAATGAACTTTGAAAAAATACTTAGTGTATGATTCCAATTATATAAATGTCCATAATAGGCAAATCCATAGGGACAAGAAACAGTTTAGGTTGTCTAAGGCTGCAGTAGTTGGGGGCATGTGACTGCTAATGGGTATGGGGTTTCTCTTGGGGTGATAAATGTTCTAAATTTGATTGTGGTGATGGTTGCACAACTCTATACTACTAATTGCACACCTTAAATGGGTGAACTTTATGGTATGTGACTTATATCTCAATACAGCTCTTTTTAAAAAGTCAAAACAATCACCCCACCCACCCCATCTCAGTCTTCCCCAGGAGGTGATTGTAGTTAACAGTCTACTGTAGCTGTTGCCAAATCTTTCCCAAGCACCTCAAATGCATGAGAGCATAACCATTTGACTAAAGGATAAGCATTTTCTTTGCTGAAATAAGCTTCTTGCACTGAAGCTGACATAAATGGATTTTGCAAGACAGATTTGTGGGTTAAACATGCCAGAGCAAAGGGTACATGCATTTGAAATGCCTCAGGCATTATCGACAAACGCATTGCCCTACACAGGGCTACATAGCATTGACTTTTTTTTCTCCAAAATTCCCCAAAAGGAAAATGGTGTCTTATCCTAAGTTGCATTTCTTTCATTATTACTAAAGTAGAGAACTGTACCACTTAATTATTTGCCAGTGTCTGAGAACTGCCATCTTTTTTTCCTTATGAATTTTTTGTCTTTCTTTGATGGTTTGGATGTGTTCTCCTTGTGAGAGATAGTTAGTTACTCTCTGTTAAGATTCTTCAAGCCTTTTTTCCCAGTATGGTATGTTTTGAGATTATGTATAATCAAAAGATTTTGGAGTTCTCCTACAGTTCCCAGGAGTGTCCCTGGAATGGAAATAAGGACACAGAAGAAGGAGGTGAGGCTGGGAGGGCTGGGCAGATGGGGTAGAGGGAGCCCACTGTTTGTGGGGATGGCTGGCTGTGGTAATGAAGACCTCCCCAAAGGGGCACCAGATAATCTGCAGGTCTCCTGACTCCTTCCTCCAACTTCTCTGGGTCATGCTGCTGCTCCATCAGACAGTCTCAGATCCCCCAAAACCTGGAGAAGCAAGTCTGGTGTCCAGGGGCTCCAGGGTGGCTGTCTCTGGGCTAGGGGAAGGCCCAGGCTTGGAGGAACCCACCATTCCCTGATTACCTCCTCAGGGCCCGCCTTCTGACGGCAACCTTCACAAGAGCATTCACTGTTTATTTTTCGGGCTATATGGTTAATGTCTTTTCATTGTAACACACACTGGAATCCATGAAAGATGAAGGGAGATCACCAGGATCCTAACCCCACAGTGGTCCTAGAAACATCCCTTCCCAGGCTGCCTTCCCAAGCGTGGGATGCGGGAATGCCCAGGGTTGGACTAGAGCTAGTAACGATCCGAATCCGACACCACTCTCACCAGCAGCAGCTCAGTGTCCACATTTGTCGACTTCATTTGGCTATAACAGAAATCAGAGCTTGTCTTCACTCCCTGTATAGTCCAGCCTGGTGCCAGCAGCCAGAGGGACGCTAGGGTGGGCTGGCTGTGCTTTGGGCCTCAGGTTCCCCACCAGTAACAGGATCAGGAGCAGGTGGGCTCTAAGTGCAATCATAGCTTGAAGCTCTCACACTGTCTCCTGGACAATGATATGCACAGGGCCAAACTTCACTCACTGCAGGTCTTTCCTGTGAACATCCACACCTCTAAATCCTCATTTTAAATTTATATAACTCTTCCATAACCTCCCTTTTTAAGGTAAGTGGATTCTTGAAATCCAAAACTCTCAACTCTTCCTCCTAGCTTGGGTTCCCCGCCCACACCCCAGGGAAGATTAGGAGGCCACTTGGACAGCTAGGCTTTATCAGTCCTGCCATTCAGTCTGGGCCCTACAGAGCCACCACCATCTGTCAGAGGGCTAGGTGGGGCTCAAGGACCCTATCTCAGACTCACTTCCACACCTCCACCTTTTCTGGTGCAGTGTTCCTTCCCTGGAGTAATAAGTCACCCACAATAGTAACTACAATAGTCTTGAATTGGTGATGTCATTATCCCTCCTAACAGTGAGGTGGAGGCTGCTCTAACCCCCACTCAAAAGGTTAAAACAGTGAAACTTGGACTCACAATATTAATTAGCCTCCCCAGGGTCACCCAAGGGATGCTCTCAGGGGAGGGTCTGCAGACCCCTGTCTCCGCTGAGTGACCAGGGCCCCTCTGAGTTCAGCTCCAACTACACAAGCCAGAACAGGCCTGGGGCTTCAAATTCTGCCTGGAGCCCAGCAAGTCTCAGTATCCTGGAGCACAGGCTTGGGATCCTTGTGTCATAAGAAACCAAGTCCCAGAGACAGAAGAGACTTGCCAGACCTCCAAAGAGCCAGCAGCCTGGCCTACTCCTCTCCCACTGGGACTGAGTCCTTCCTCTGCTGGAACTTTGAATATGTTTCATGAACTTCCTGAGCCTCCATTTCCTTATCTTAAAACATGTAATGATGATAACAAAACTTCTTTCACAGAGAGCTGTGAGGGTCACAGCCCATCATGAAGAGTATCTGGTACAATGTTCAGGATTTAGAAAGCACTCGATAACTATCAGCTAAAACCAGACAGCAGACCTCAACTCACAACCACACAAAATCAGTCCAAGGGACACTGTCACCCAACTCAAAACACCAAACAGTAAAAGTTCTTAGAATGGTAATATAGACAGTTCTGTACACTTCAGTATTCGGCAAATGCTTATTTTGCTTTTTTAAAAATTGAAGTGAAATTTGCATAATATAAAATTAACCATTTTTACATGCAAAAAAATGAAACTGGACCACCTTCTTACACCATAAACAGGAATAAACTCAAATGTAAGGGCCAAAACCATAAAACTTCTAAAAGAAAACATAAGCAGTAAACTCTCTGATATTGTTATTAGTAACTTTTTTCAGCTATATCTCTTTGAACAAGAGAAACAAAAGAAAATAAATAAATGACTTTGTTAAACTGAAAAGGTTTTGCCTAGCAAAAAAAAAAAAAAGAATCTATAAAACAAAAGACAGTGTACTGAATGGGAGAAGATATTTGCCTATGATACATCTGACAAGGAGTTAATATCCAAAATTAAAAAGAACTCATACAATTCAACAACAACAAAAACAATCCAATTAAAAAATGGACAGAAGACCCGAAAAGATATTTCTCCAAAGAGGAAATACAGATGGACAATAGACATATGAAAAGATGCTCAAGGTCACTAATCATCAGAGAAACACAAATTAAAACCGCAATGAGACATCACTTCACACCTGTCAGATTGGCTATCATTAATAAATCAAAAAAAACAAGTGTTGGTGAGGATGTGGAAAAAAGGGATCCCTCCTACACTTTTGGTGGTATTGCAAATTGGTGCAGCCACTATGGAAAATAGTTTAGAGGTTCCCTAAAAAATTAGAAATAGAACTACCTTTCGATTGAGCACCTGCACTTCTGGGTATTTGTCTAAAGAAAACCAAAACACTAGTTCATAAAGATCTATACACTCCTATGTTCATGGCAGCTCTATGTACAATAGCCAAGATATGGAAGCAACTTAAGTGTCCATCAATAGACAAATGGATAAAGAAGTTATGGTACGTATATACAGTAGAATATTACTCGGCCATAAAAAATTAAATCATACCATTTGCAACAACATGGATGGACCTAGAGGGTATTGTATTGAGTGAAATAAGTCAGACAGAGAAAGATAAAAACCATATGATTTCACTTATATGTAGAATCTAAGGAACAAAAGAAACAAACAAACTAAACCGGTAATATACAAACTGGTGATTGCCAGAGGGGAGGAAGGTTGGGGTACTGAGTGAGAAGGTGAAAGGATGAAGTAGTTACAAAACAGTCACGGGGATATAGAATACAGCAAAGGGAGTATAGTCAGTATTATTGTAATGGCTGTGTGCAGTACCAGATGAGTGCTAGAGTAATGGGGGGTGGAGACCACTTCATAAATTCATAAATGTCTAGCCATTGTACTATGTACTTAAAATTAATATAAAATAATTTTTAAAGTCACAGCAATTAAAGCCACAATACTTTAAAAATATTAACCATTTTAAAGGGAAAAATTTAGTAGCATTTTGTGTGTTCACAACATTGTACAACCATTATCACAATCTAGTTCCAGAATATTTTCATCATCCCCAAAGGAAACCTAGTACCCATTATATAATTGCTGCCAATTCCTTCCCCGCCCCCAGCTCCTGGCACCCACTTATCCATTTTCTGTCTCTATGGATTTGCCTATTCTGGATATTTCATATAAATGGAATCATATGATACATGGTATTTTGTGTCCAGCCTGTTCACTTACTATAATGTTTTCGAGGTTCATCCATGTTGTAATGTGTCACTGCTTCATTTTTATGGTTGAATAATATTTTATTGTGTAGCTACACACCATATTTTTTTTTATTCATTCATGCATTGATGGGCAGTGGGGTTCCACCTTTTTAATGCAGTCACTAACTTTGACTGCACTAAAATTATAAACTTCTGTTCAACCAAAAATAGCATTAGGAGGCGGAGGCAAACTACACCATTAAAGGCAATATGACACATTAAACTAACAAAGAACTTGTAGCCAGAATGAGACTACGAAAAGGTGGCAGGTGGGAGTTTTTTTAGGTGATGGAGCTATTGTGTATCCTGATTTTGGTGGAGGTTGCATGACTCTATAAACATGTCAAAATTCACAGAGAAGTACAGTAAAAAAAAAAAAAAAGTCCATTTCATTGTATGTTAAAATTAAAAGAGATATTTGCCTCATTATATTAAAATGATATGGTGAGCAATATTGCAATCCCTAATAGCACATATTAGAAAAATTCTCTTTTATTGAACAAGATTCTCAGGGGACTACCTGGTCAGTACCTATTTCCTTAGCAATAGGTGGGCAAAACCATTGCTTTCTCAGAGGAAATCCAGGAATCATGGAGCCAAGGGGGAGGGGACTGACATGTGGCCAGGGTGGGCAGCTGCAGGATTACATCAAGGAGTGGTTCAGGCAGCACAGGGCATGTTCCAGCTGGAGGAGAGTATGTCTTAGGCCCTGCTTCTCTGGATTCCCTCATTTTGTGATTCTTAAATAGACAAAAAGACAGGGCAGAGCTGGGCTGCAAATGCAGGCATGACCTTCCGGGCTGGCTGGGCCCCTATCTCTGTTGGACTCTGGTCAGGCTGTGGCCACCGCCCCCTCTAAGGCCCAACATGGATGGCAGGAGTGATAGCACTTCACCCCACCTGTCTCTTCAGGCTCTGACCATTGTCGCTGGATCTGATAAGAGATCCCACTCCCATGGCCCACTTCTCTCTCCCGATCAATGTGCACGGCCTGGCCCCCACCCCAGTTCTGTGTATATAAGGGGATCCTGGGGGCTGAGCACCATGGAGGCCAGTCCCGAGCTCACCCAGCTCCAGTTCGGCCATCAGCATGTCTCTGACCAAGTCTGAGAGGACCGTCATCATGTCCATGTGGGGCAAGATCTCCACACAGGCGGATGCCATCGGCACTGAGGCCCTGGAGAGGTGAGTGTCAGATGGGCTGGGGTGGGGCCAGGTAGGCGACAACGTGGGGTTACTGAGGACAAGGGACAGTGAGGAGAGTTCAGTGAGAAGGAATCAGTGAGTATAAGTGGTGGTCATTGGCAGTCAGTGAGCAGGAAGAGTAGGTGGATGGGAAGGGGAGATGAGAACTGTGTCTTTCACACCTGGCCTATCACACAAATCTTCACAAATATCTGTGGAATGAATGAATGAATGAATGAATGAACGAACTAATAACTGAAAGATGGGGCCGTGAGGGTGAGATAGTGTGTGCCATACTGGAGCCTGGGGCAATGGGATTCAGTACTGATCCTGTCTTTATTTAACCGTGAATTTTCTGCATTAATATTTATGTTTTAAAATATTGCGTTAAAATATGATTTATCCTGACTGCTGGGTTTTTCCATGCCTCTTAAGTTTTGTGCCCAAGGCTAAGGCCGCACTGGCCTCATCAGGTCAGGCTCTCGTCACCCCCCAACCCCTCCCGCAGACTCTTCGCCAGCTACCCTCAGACCAAGACCTACTTCCCGCACTTCGACCTGCACCCGGGCTCGGCGCAGCTGCGCCTGCACGGTTCCAAGGTGGTGGCCGCCGTGGGCGAAGCGGTCAAGAGCATCGACAACATCGCCGGCGCCCTGTCCAAGCTGAGCGAGCTGCACGCCTACGTCCTGCGCGTGGACCCCGTCAACTTCAAGGTGGGCGCGGGAGCGGGGCGGGGGGCCCCAGTAGGGTCAGGACGGAGGCGGGGCCCCGATGCAAGAGCGGCAGGGTCTCCGCTCCCACCCAGGGAACACCCAGCCCTGAGCGCTGAGCCGCCCTCCCACCCCTTAGCTCCTGTCCCATTGTCTGCTGGTCACGGTGGCCTCGCACTTCCCCGCCGACTTCACGGCCGACGCCCACGCCGCCTGGGACAAGTTCCTGTCCATCGTATCCAACGTCCTGACCGAGAAGTACCGCTGAGCGCAGTCACCGGACCCCGGAGGACAGGCTGCGACCCCTCCGCTGTACTAGGGGACTTCTCAAACCCCTTTCTCCCTGGTGACGCGCCAATAAAGAAATTAAAGTATAACTCGCCTCCGTGGTCACTGAGGCCATCATGGGGTGGGGAGCCGCAGAGGTGGAGGGGTGGGCCTCGGGGTCTCCAGGAGGGCTGTAGGAATTCTTCGCACTGACCCCAGGGTCTCTCAGAGGGCAAAGGGCAGCACCCTAGTCTTGGAGGGTACTCGGGCTCCAGGCGCGGGTCGGAAAGGGTGCCCGCTGCTTCACTTCTGCAGCACGGCTGGAGCCCACGGCCCCTCCGGCTCTCCCTGGGTCCCACCGTGTTACTCTTTCTTCTTGCTCCGGAATTTTTACTATTTCCTAGTTTATGCCGCGGGAAAATAAAGCGTAATGAATACATACATTCATTCATTCATTCACCCACCCATTCATTGCCCCTTCCATTAAACAAACATGTATGGGCACAGAAGATACCCCAACATTTTCCTAGGCTGTGAATACAACAGCTAAAATCAGCAAAGCCCTGTGCTCCATGGAGCTGACAATCTACTGAGGGGTAAAGACATAATATATAATCAGATCACAGTTCACGGAAATAAAAAAGGGAAAAAAAAGGCCCAACTTTGCTCATAATAAGAGAAATGCAAATTAACACTACTCTAAAAATAAAACCTCACTGAGATCCAGTTCTCATCTAACCGATAAGCAAATCGAGGTTTTGACCACACTCTGCTGGCGGCCCCTCCTACCTGGCCGTAGAAGCAGGACATGGATACACAAAGCCACTGGGGCAGCTTAGTTTGCTAAAGACTAGGAAAAATGGAGTCCATCATGAGCACTGATTGAATAAACCATAAACATGCACAGGACAGAGAAGTGTGAACTTGAAGAGATGGAGACAATTTCTAATATTGGCTGTGAAGTGATAGCCAGGATTTGTTGAGTAGAAAGGAAAATAGAAAATAGAATGGCGTATATATAACAAGGTAACTTAACTGTAAGAAAGGAAGGGAAATACATGTTTGTGTACATTTGTGCACATGTGTGTGAATATGTTCATCACCCTGTGTTTGCACTCGTAAATGTGCATATGTTTATGTGGGTCTTTGCTTATTTTTGCGAAAAGATACTGTAGAAGAATAAAGCAGAAATGATTACAAGTGGTAGAGCTGGTGGGAATGAAGAGGTAGGATGGGGGCCTCCTCTGAGTCTAATTCTACATAGTTTTGAACTTTAAATCATGTAAATATTTTACATCATCAAAAATAGAATTAAGAAGAGCAAAACATGGGAACATCAAAGTTGAAAACCAACTTAAACGAACCTGTGAAATAGTGTAGTAAGTAATCATTGGAAATAAGAATTGTTCCTAAAGAACTTCTGAACACTGTACCTTGGCTGTGACCAAAAGAACTGCAAAGAAATTCTAACATTTACTCAGTAGTTTAGTGGTTGTAATAACACAGATATTGTAATTTTATAAACTTTTATTTTGAAACATTTTCAATCCACAAAAATACCCTGCAAGAATAAGACAAGATGGAGAAATAGGGGCAACTGCTAGTGGGTACAGTGTTTCTTTTGGGGTGATGAAAATATTCTAAATTTGGTGGTGGTGATGGTTACACAACACTATGACTATACTAAAAACCATTGAATTGTACACTTTAAGTGGGTGAACTATATGGTATGCGAATTATATAGCAATACATCTATAGATTAAATAAGAAGACAAAACACTCCCAAATATTATTCACCAAGGTTCCCTGATTGTTAATATTTCACCACATTTGTCTTCGCTTGCTCTTTTTTTCTGAGCCACTTGAGTGTAGGATGCAGACATGATTTCCCTTTAGTGCCCTTAATTATCTGTGTATTTCCTGGAACCAACAAGAACACTCTCTCATATAGCCAGAAAACAACCTCCAAAATCAGGAGATTAACACTGATCCAAATCCATTAATGCACAGATCCCATGCACATGTTGCCCTTCCCAATGACATCCTTTACCCAACCAGAATCACACTTTGCATTTAGTCTCCTTCGTTCTGGCTCTTAGGTCTTTCCTTGTATGATCTTAATAATTTCGAAGGGCACCTGCCAGTAATTTTGTAGAATGTCTCTCAATTTGCATTTGTCTAATGTGTCTTCATGAAGAGATTTAGGTGGTGCATTTTGGGCAGGAACATCACAGAAGTGATGCTGTGTCCACATCAATGCATCCCATTGGGCACATGGTACTGACTTGTCCCTTTACTGGTCATATTTACTTTGACCACCTGGTTGAAATGGTGTCTGCCAGGTTTCTTTACTATAAAGTTAATTAATGAATATTTAATGCCTTTTCATTGATAAATAGTTAATAAGTTGAAGTTAATAGTTAATAAGGTGAAGCTTTGAGACTGTAAAAGTCCTGCTCTTTATATAATTTCACACGCTGGTCTTAACATCCATTGATGGTTCTTGACTACATCAATCGTTACTATGATGGTTGTCCCGTGCAATTCTCCATCACTCCTTCTGTACTTATTAGTAGGCATTCTACTGAAAGGAGAAGGTTTTCCTTTTCCATTTTTTACTTATGTCATATTAACTCACTAAATTTTGTTTTATTCAGTGGGTTATAATCTATTGCCAATCGAACTGTTCCAGATTTGGACAGTGGAAGCCCCTTCAAACTGGCTCCTGTGTCCTTTGACATGTCCCCATCATTCTTTGAGTACCTTCTTAATTTCTGCTAAAGAGGTTCCAGGCTCATCTTGTACTTTCCTTGCACCAGCCTGAAATCAGCCATTTCTCCACATATTTCTGTTTCTTCCTAGTAGAGAATGATGTTTGCAGGGCAAGATTTGAGAGCTGGGTATGTTCATTGCTACTGGAATGTTACTGCTTCTAATCTCTCAGTGGACAGAACTAAGACATACATTTGTATGCACACATACACATAAATAAAAATATGCACATAAATATATATATATTTATAATCTATTCTATATCTAAGTGTATTAGAAGCCATGACCTCATATTGATGTCTCTGATTACTGTCACATACCACGTGCATTATCCTTGTCTTCTCCCTTTCCATGTCCGTGCCTCCCTGCTGCAATAGTGATAAACCTGGCTCCCATTGTACTCAAAATGTTTACTTATTTTCTCAATTCCCTCATATATTACCAATATCCCAACTTTGATATCATAATTTTGAAAATATACTACCAATTTGTAGGATAATAGCAAATAAGTAAAAAAGATTATTTCATTAGGAACCAATATTTTCAGTGTGAATGAAAATATTTTCAAACATAAAACCCATGAAATTTTTTATTTCAAAACATTTTTATAACTTAAAAACCTTTTAAATTAAAAACTGTATCAATTTAAATCAGAAATATCATTGTAAACTAATGTTTCAAAAACACATTTCGTAGTTCTGTCCACTACGAAGGTCCTGCAACAGCGACAAGTTCACCTGACACCCGGATTCTGGTTTCTAAGCACCATCCCTCACTAAAAGGAACTCCAGACTTTCCCAGGGCTAGGACAGTGTAAGTAAAGGTGAGCCTGAAATATATTATTGTTCCAGAAAACAGGAAAGTATTCACAAAATGATGGGATTATCACAGAAGGGCATAAGCGCCAGCATGAGGGGCTCCTTCCGTCCACATCTGAGACAATTTGAGCATCAAAAAATAACTAATTGTTGAAAACAGTGAATAAATTAAAATTTACGGTTCCATAGTGTTCCTCAAAAAGAGAGAGGAGAAAGTTTATTTGCCACTAGTGGAATAAGAATTTGGCACCATAACAGTTTACTATAAAAGCTGGTAATTAAAGGAAAATAATTAAGCATAAATCTTAACTTTTAGAGAAACTGTCATTCATCCCCAACGAATGAGGAAACTCTTTTTACACAATAATGACAGCTAATTAATAATTAATAAAATAATCATTAAATTAGAAAGCTACAATTCTATGATTCCCAGTGAAGTAATGGATTCAAGCAAGATTATCGATGATTGCTAAAACCGTAAGATAAAGTTTGTTAGGAATAGGATAGTTCACTGGTGCCAAAACAATTACTTCCAAATGACTAGTTAATTGTAAAGAGGGAAAAGATACCTTTAATGTAAAGACATCTGGTGGTTTCTTCCTTAACTGAGTGACCAAGCTTGGCATCACCAACACCGCATGATCTGACATGACATGCCTCCTGGTGTCATGCAAGTCCTTAACGTTACTTATGATGTTACACAATAAGTTTTTTTCTTGTGATCAAATACTCAGAACATAAAAATTACCATTTTAACTATTTTAAAGTGAACAACTCAGTGGCACTCAGTACATTTACAATGTTGTACAATCATCACCTCTATATAGTTCCAGAACTTATCGCCCTAAATGGAAATTCCATGCCCCTCCCCCCGTGGCAACCATGCTGCTTTCTGTCTCTATAAATTTGGCTACTCTGGATTTTACATATAAATGGAATCTATAATAGGCAGACTTTTGTGTCTGGTTTCTTCCACTTAGCATATGTTTTCAAGGTTGGTCTATGTTGTAGGATGTACCAGTACTTCCTTTTTATGGCTGAATAATATTCTCTTGTATAGACATACTAAATTTTGTTTATCTTTCATCCACTGATGGACATATAGGTTGTTTCCACCTTTTAGCTATGTGAATTGTGCTAAGAACATTATTATACAAGATTTTGTGTGGACATATGTCTTCATTTAGCTTGGGTATATATATACCTAGGAGCGGAATTGCTGGGTCTTCTGGTAACGATGTTCAACTTATCAAGGAACTGCAAAACTGTTGTTTTCCACAGTGGCTGCACTATTTTGCATTGCTAGAAATAGTGTATGGGGGTTCCAATTTCTCCACATTCTTGCCAACTCGTGTTATTTTGCTTTTTTAAATGTTATTTTTATGGCTATCCTACTGCGTATGAAGTGGTATTTCATTGTAGTTTGGATCTGCATTTCCCTAATGAGTAATGAAGTTGAGCATCTTTTCATGTGCTATTGTGTATCTTTTTTGGAGAAAAGTCTATTCAAGTCCTTTGTCTATTTTTAATTGGGTTGTTTGTCTTTTTGCTGTTGAGCTGTTACAGTTACTTCTATATTCTAAATACAAGTTCTTTATTACATATACGGTTTACGAATATCTTCTTCCATTTTGTGGGTTACCTTTTCACTGCCAAGTTCCAACATGACTGTAATCAAGCCTTTAGATATGACTTCTATTGTACAGGAAAAACGTAGATAAGGGAACCGATCCAATGTGGAACACTCTGCAAGACAGCTGGCCTGGACTCTTCAAAAAGTCATTCTTGTGAGGAAAGGTGGGTGTGGAGTGGAAAGCTTCTGGAATAAGCGAATAAAGAGACAACTAAATGCTACATGTGAACCTCGGTCAGAACCCGATTTGAACATGTTGAACAAACTTTGGGGCTGAATGGGCAACTTTGTTGCCATGGAATGTTGTTAGTTTACTTTGATTTACAATAGACTTATACTTGTTTATGTAGAGAAAGAATTTCACAATGCCCACCACACCCTTCCACATTGTTTGGAAGGAAAATAAAGCACACTCCTATATATTCCTATATAAAATGACAAAGCAAATGTTAACAATGACTAGATCCAGGTGATGGGAGTACAGGGGATCATTATACCCTTCTTTAACTATAAGATCTGACCTCAGTGCCACTCCTCTCACTCTCTCTCATCCACTCTGCCCCAGCCACTGGCTTTCCTCTCAGGCCTTTGTACTTGTTTATTCCCTCTCTACTTCATACACACACTCTTCCCCCAAACATCTCATGGCTTATTCTTCCAACTCCTTGAAACAACTTACTTGATTTTACCATCTCAGTGACATCTTCCCCGGCCACCTTATGTAAAGCTGCAAGCCTTCTCAGCAATATCTATCACACATCCCTGTTTATCTCTTTCCAATGTCAATGTCTTCCAATCAGAGACCACCTGGAACACTCCTGGAGTCAAACGAAGTTGGATTTGTTAACTCACTGCCACAGAGGAGACTACCCACCATGGGAGACCATGGGCATCTAAGTTAGAGGCTTAAGACTAGAGTTAGGTGATGTGGGCTCAAAGAAGCAGGGCTTTGCTCTGGATTGGATGCTGCCAAGAGATTGGAGTAATCCTATGATTGCGCTGTTTAATAATTCTTATCTAGAAGAAGAGAAGAGCAAATGGAGGCTGGAGCTGCTACTGGCAAAAAAGTAGCAGTCCTTCGTATTAGCCAGGATGGGATGTTTTTTTATTCTTGTGATCTGGACAATTCATGTTTTCTCTATTTGGATAGTGTTTTTTTGTGTTGAGCATCACAGTCACAGGTGTCCATGTCTGATGTCCATGTTCTAATGATTTGTTCAACAGGAGAACACAAGCTTGTTGAGCATCACAGTCACAGGTGTCCATGTCTGATATCCATGTTCTAATGATTTTGTTCAACAGGAGAACACAAGCTTTACAGTGAGAGCCCAGGCATCAAGGGCTGCTTTTCTCCTTTTCACTGGTGTGCTTACCTGCTGCAGTCATTCTGGATTGCATACCTTCCTCACCAGAACATGAGCTCCAGAGAGCAGGTGTTTCTGTCAGTTTGTCCTCTGCTATGTCCCCAGCTGTTAGAGATGGCCTGGCATAGGATAAGTGGCCAAATGTAATCCATGAAGAATGAATGGAGTTTCGGGGGGGCTCTCACAAGCCTACCCAAGGCTGCTCCTGCTGTTTGCCTGACTTTAAGATCTAGGAGTTTTCAGCTTTGCAGAGACATTCTGTCCCAAGGAGGTGTTCTACATGGGTCCACTTTCACCACGGAGGACTCTGACCCAGAGGACTCATGCCTAAGAGTGTGGGGTGTGTGGTGTGGTCCCATGTACTTAACTGTCCTGGAGCTGAAATGTCCTACATTTTCGAGATAATTCAGCTAAACAAAGAAAACAACACTAAAATGTTAGTGATGACTGGTGAGATATGCGATTTTTGTTCTCTTCCATAAGAGTCTGTAGACTTCCTCGAAAGATCTATAAGAAGCATGCATTGTTTTTATGAACAGAGAGAGTGGCTTTTAGGAAGACTTTGAGAATCGGATGCTAACTGGTCCCCTCCAGAGCTGGAGGTGAGGACCCCAGTGGCCCCAGACTTCTGGATGGGGAGAGAATAACACAATGCCATGTGAGTGTTCAGGCATAATTGGGGTTATTACATATATGTTCATAATTTATTGAAGAGTCTTAGGAAATGGCTAGAGGGTTGTCTCTGGAGGTGAGGAGGTGAGAAGAGAAATTTGTTTTTTAAGCTGTTCTTTGCCAGAATTGCTATTACAATTAACACATTTAGTCTGTCGATTAAAATTTTAAAACATTTAACTACATGCACAAAACACCTGTTAAAGAAAATGTAGAAAGAAAAGCACAAATGTGGAGATTGTGTGCAGGTGAGTGTGTGTGTAAAGAACCCCATTACAGAAATATACCAAGTCCATTTGATCAGTGAAAATGAACAAATAGATTCTAATCATCATGTGCGAAAATTCTCAACCTCAACAATGAATAAAAACAGGTGCCCTCAACACGTTACCACAAACAAATAAAACTCATAACACTGAATGTTGGCCAGCCCGGGGAGAAACTGGTCCACATTGCAGACAGGGCTCTCAGTCGAGGAGCAGAGCAGGGTGCTCCCTCTGAGGTGGCTTGGGAGGTGGCTGTGGGGGTAAGTGTGACAGGAGGAGCTCTGTGGTCTCCCCACCAGACCTAAGCGTAGGCTCTGGGATTGTGCTGCAAGCCCCCTCTGCCAGGAGTCCCCACACTCCCAGCTTCAACATAAAGACAGGACAGGCTCTGGGGCAGCCCATGGCTCAGCTCTCACTTTATGGTCTTAATGGTTTTCATAACATGTGCTCAATGTGGACGCCCAGTGAAAAATGTGCAAAAAAAGAACAAACAAGAATAACCCTAACCTTCATCACTTAGGGATAATTGTTATCAGTTGTGTACAGTTCCGTCCAGCCTGTTCTTCTATTTAAAAAACATTGTTATATTGTATGTTCTGTTTTTTCCCCCCTTATTAAAAAAACCTTACATTAAAAAAAAAAGATGTGCTTATGAGGAAATGTTTATTATAATTAAAATTTGTAAATCAAGTTATGTGTTTAACTTAAAATACATGCATAAAAATGCAAGAACACATACTAACTAAAAGGAATATATTAAGTGCATTGGCATGGTTGCCTTATGGGGGAGAGGGGGGAAGGGAATAGGTTGATAGGATAAAGAGATACAAATAGAGCAGGAGGGGGTTTTGTACAGGCTGGGATGAGACTGTGGCAGTAGAGTTGTAGTTTGGTATCACTCCAGGCTTTTCATGAAGAGTCCAGCTTCCTCCTGGCTTGGGTACCCAGCTTGGAGAGTCCCCTCAACCAAGCTGCTGGGGGACTTGGCCTGTGGGTGGGGGAGAACCACAGACAGAACTTCATCCAGGTGAGAGGAGACTAAACAGCAAAGTTGGGAAAGGGTCTGAAGCCAAGACTGCCACTCACTCCCTGTGACACCTGGCCTCAGTTTCTCCCTATGGGCCTCAGTTTACTCATCTGTAAACTGGAGCTCACAGGTGGTTTAAGAATGGACCATGCTCCCGTGAGGGCCTCCTTCCATCGCAAGAACAGGGAGGGCAGAGATAATCATTACAGAGACAAGCCTCAGGGTCAGGTTGACATGTAGACCCTCAGCCCAAGCCTGGGCCCCAATCTCCCTGGAACTTGGTCTCTGTCTGTGGCCCATGGAGGGAGGCCAGAGTGATAGCCCCTCACTGCACCTGTCCCTTCAGGCTCTGACTGACCATTGTCACTGGATCTGATAAGAGATCCCACCCCTCTAGCCTCTTCCTCTCTTCTGACCAATGTGCACAGCCTGGCCCCCACACCAGTTCTGTGTATATAAGGGGATCCTGGGGGCTGAGCACCATGGAGGCCAGTCCCAAGCTCACCCAGCTCCAGTTCGGCCATCAGCATGTCTCTGATCAAGTCTGAGAGGACAGGTGGTTTAAGAATGGAGCATGCTCCCGTGAGGGCCTCCTTCCATCGCAAGAACAGGGAGGGCAGAGATAATCATTACAGAGACAAGCCTCAGGGTCAGGTTGACATGTAGACCCTCAGCCCAAGCCTGGGCCCCAATCTCCCTGGAACTTGGTCTCTGTCTGTGGCCCATGGAGGGAGGCCAGAGTGATAGCCCCTCACTGCACCTGTCCCTTCAGGCTCTGACTGACCATTGTCACTGGATCTGATAAGAGATCCCACCCCTCTAGCCCCTTCCTCTCTTCTGACCAATGTGCACTGCCTAGCCCCCACACCAGTTCTGTGTATATAAGGGGATCCTGGGGGCTGAGCACCATGGAGGCCAGTCCCAAGCTCACCCAGCTCCAGTTCGGCCATCAGCATGTCTCTGATCAAGTCTGAGAGGACCGTCATCATGTCCATGTGGGGCAAGATCTCCACACAGGCGGATGCCATCGGCACTGAGGCCCTGGAGAGGTGAGTGCCAGACAGGCTGGGATGGGGCCAGGTAGGCAACAATGTGGAGTTACTGAGGACAGCGGACAATGAGGAGAGGATAGCGAGGTGGGGTGAGTTAGGACAGGGGACAGTAAGAAGTGGTCAGCGAAGAGGAGACAGTGACAATAGGGGGTAGTGAGTTGGGGAAGATGAATTGCACAGACATCTGACTGACCCTGAGGCCTGAGCAGGGACAGGCCCAGGTTCCCACACTGAGGGCATGGACAGTTTCTTCCAAGGCCCGAAGTGTCTTCTGAGGCCGTCAGGTTGCTACCAGCATTGATATCGGGGTCTCTGATCCTGGGGAAACCTCAGTCAAAAGAGATTTCCCTGAAAAGACCTTCCTGGGATACTGCTGAAGAGAGCCTTATTTCTGGCAGAAGGTGAAGTGAGAAGCCAAGTCAAGGGCTGGGAAGGAAGCCCCTGTGGCCAGAGGAGGTGAAATTGCGGTGGGATCTGGAGAGCTGGCAGTGCAGACCCAGTTGAAAGCAAAGAGATAAGCCAGGAGTTGCAGCGGCCTGGAAAGGGCCAAGGTCCAGTGGTGGGAGACACGTGCGGGGCCTCTAGATGAGAGAGGTGGAGCTTGGAGGGCGCGAGGCGGGGG